TCCCTAAGACACTTCTGTCAAGAGGAGTGCTCTCCTATTCCAGAGAGGCGAGTGGTAGCATGCTGTTAAAAGCCCCTGGGAAACTGTCTTTACCGAGAGGCGTCATGATGACGGTGTAATTCTAAGTTTCGCACAAAGAAACAAAGGCCATCAGTGTCCACTAGAGAGAAAACACAAAGCACAACTCAGCAGCAACGGGTAGGCATCTGGGACGAAAAGGATGAGCAGACAGGCACCAAGGACAGCACTGCACCGCAGGACCGCACCGCAGCAGCAGTAACAGGCCAGCACCGCACCACAGGACCGCACCACAAGACCGCACCACAGGACCACACGGCAGCGGCCGTAACAGGCCAGCACCGCACCACAGGACCGCAGGGCAGTGGCAGTAACAGGCCAGCACCGCACCACAGGACCGCAGGGCAGTGGCAGTAACAGGCCAGCACCGCACCACAGGACCGCAGGGCAGTGGCAGTAACAGGCCAGCACCGCACCACAGGACCGCAGGGCAGTGGCAGTAACAGGCCAGCACCGCACCACAGGACCGCAGGGCAGTGGCAGTAACAGGCCAGCACCGCACCACAGGACCGCACAGCAGCGGCAGTAACAGGCCAGCACCGCACCACAGGACCGCACCACAGGACTGCACCACACCACAGGACTGCACCACAGGACTGCACCACACCACAGGACTGCACCACAGGACTGCACCACACCACAGGACCGCACCACAGCACCGCACCACAGCACCGCACCACAGGACTGCACCACAGGACCGCAGGGCAGCGGCAGTAACAGGACAGCTCGCCTCCTGTTTGTGCACACACTCTTTTGTTGGCTGTTCTACTGCTCTAGCAGTTCCTGCAGGGGACGGTCAACTTCCTAGATAAGTGTTCTGCTGGCTTTGGTTACGGTTTAAGTGAGACATTTCTCCCAAAGGAACATGTGTTTGAATATTTGGTCTCCAGCTGGTGGAGCTGTTGTGGAATGCAATGGAACCCTGAGGAGGTGGAGCTCAGTTGGAAGGCATTGATAATGGGAGGTGGGTACTTCTTATCACTCTCTCTGCTTCCTGCCTGGTGACAACCTGATAGTTGCTATATACTTTCCCTGCCGCAGACCCTACCATTAGTCCAGATAACGCTTCCCACAGGACACTTCCACCACATCGGTTTTGTTACAGTGACTTCAGGGATTGGGTGGAGTGGGCGCTCGAAACAAGGCCATCTCTCTCTCAGCACTCCAAATACCCAAGGCAGAACTCTGAGTTCACTCTATGGGAACACTTGAATTTATACCCCATTAAAGTTCTTGTTTGAAAATTATAAGCTGAAGCCACATCTAACTGTCATGACAGTCTCTGGTTTCCCCACACATACTAAAAATGGAAAATTCATTTCACGGTCACAGAACCAATAAAAAAAATGGCTTCAGTTAAAATATCTAGCCTTTCCTTACAAAGTAAATGATTTTCAGGTGTTTATAACACACCCTTTGTGTTTATCGTGTTTTATAAACACTAGGCATGCTGAGAAGAGTTTCTTGTGTCATGAGAAATTACAGCATGGACTAGAGGCCTGGGTCTTTCTCTCTGGCATTTGCTTTTAGTTTCAAATTTAAGTCTGATGTTTTTCTTTTAGACCCAAGGTAAAGACAGGATGACAGCTCAGTCATTTCTTTTTAAAGTTATTGTAAGTACCATCAAGAGGTTTAAATCATTATAAAAATGCTGCTAACTCTTATGCAAGTGACTTAACACAGATTGATGGAACAAAAACTGCACTTTAAAAACTGTGTACATCAAATGAAAAATATCTTGTTGGCAACCCTGTTTACAAATTTCAGTGACCTCAGATCAGCCACGCGGCAGTGACCTTTGAGGAAAGGCGGTCTCGGTGCCCATCAGAGTCAATGCAATCTTGCAAACTGACCTATATTCTTGCCAAAAGCCCCTAGGAACCCACCCAACCTCAGGGATGTGCCAAATAACCTCAGGCACTTCTCTCCATGAACACCTAGGAAAAGTATTCATCCATCAGGGATGAAGAAATTCTGAGATAACCAAAGCTGATCACAAGAAGCACAGGATTTGGGGCAATACACTGAAACATGCAACAGCACAAAACAACATTAATCCCCCTCACCCCCCAAAAAGCTCTCAATCTTTAGTAGGCAAGGAATCAGTCATGGTCATGATGGGACTTCTTAACATTGATATTCCTGTTCATCTGTCACTAGCCACAAAACACAACAATAACAAAAAACCAAGTGATATTAGTTTCCAGTCTCTAGATTTGGTTGCATAAGTGACCCTGGGTGTGATCGTTTTGATGAGCACACCTGAGTCAATTAACAAACATTTGGGCCACCGCAAGTAAGGCAGGACCAAAGTTCAATAGGAAAAACTCAGGTAGTTGTGTTCCTGATACAGATCATTGTTGATCATGAAGTCACGTCAGACATATTGCTGAGGTCTGACATCATTAAGGGTGTCTAGCACTTGCTAGGAAGGGTGTCCTGTACTTGTATTTATTTATTGAAAATCCTTAGGGAACCTCTGACATGAATATAAGGTTTAAAGGTTTGAGGACCTCAAGTCACCCAGAATTCAGCAAAAATTCTAGGATCTCCTATTGAATGCAGGTATTTCTCTGCATTGTGCCTGGAGTCTTTGAAAGGTTCTGTAGAAGCACAGCACAGTCCAGTCTTGCGGTATCTGGGAAGCCGAAAGGGAATCTTGTCTTAGGAAACCTCTGTAACAGCAAGGACCCTTTGTGGGCAGCCGGTCAGATGTCTGGGATGAACTCCTGCCAACCCCAGGCTGTCCACACTTTGGCTCCAGCTTTCTGACTGCCCCTTCATGCACGCTCCATAGAACCTACGCACTTAGGCCATCTCTGGATCCACATCCTCTTTCTCTGGAATGCGCCTCCCCCAATTTCTCTTCTCTTCTTCTTTTTTTTATCTTTTGGGTTTATTTTTTTGAGATAGGGTTTCTATATGTAACTTTGGCTATCCTAAAACTTGGTCTGTAGACCAGGCTGGCCTCAAACTCACAGAGATCCACCCTCTTCTGCCTTCTGAGTGCAGGGATTAAAGGGGTAGGCTGCTGCCACAGCTACCACCACCTGGCTGCTCTGCTTTTCTAGTTCCTGCATATTTTTGATCCCATTGAAAACGCCATTATCTCTCCTAAGGCTTCACTCATTCACCTCCCACTGGGAGTTCCTCTCTGTGCTCTGAACTGCCTCACAAGCTTTCTGTCTCTTGACTGTTCCTCATCCTTTAACTTGGACTTCAGCATCTCTTTGCACTTGCTACCTCTTCTACAACTGATATCAGTATTTCTAGCAGTTCTCCGAGTAACTTCACAGTGGATTTGCTACAACTCTAGGGTCTCAGGGAGGCGTCGGAAGACCAGTTAATGGGGGAAGCGTGTGGGAGGGCTGTTTTTCCATTTCTTTGTTTTAAAAAATATTTAAAACAAAAAACATTATTTTATTTGTGTGTGTGTGTGTGTGTGTGTGTGCGTGAGCACAAGCATGTCCGTGTGTGTGCCTATGTCTGCACACACCCACATAGGCCAAAAAAGGTGTTGGATCCTCTGGAGCTAGAGTTACAGGCAGTTGTGAGCTGCCTGACATTGGTGCTGGGAACTGAATTCAGGTCCTGTGCAAGAACAGCAAGCACTCTTAACCCTTGAGTCTTCCCTCCTGTAAAAAAGATGCTGAACACTAGATAGAAAAAAGAACCATTGTAGCAGATGTCAAATAAATGGAGAGAGTGATCATTGGCGCCTCTGTGGCTTTCTCCTCCAGACAGAATGGGATTCTCAACCAAGGAAGGTGGTCAAAAGACAAGAGACAGGTCCTTCCTCCTGTGTCCTCATTTTGGATTTGGGGGCTGCTGGGGATTAAACTATGGGCCACTGTTGAAGAAACTATATTATTTGAATCACTGCTTGGCCTATTAGCTCTAACTTCTTATTGGCTAGCTCTTACATATTAATTTAACCCATTTCTATTAATCTGTGTATTGCCACGATGATGTGGCTTACCAGGTAAAATTCTGGTGTCTGTCTCTGGCAGGGTTACATGGCTTCTTCTGACTCTGTCTTCTTTCTCCCAGCATTCAGTTTAGTTTTCCCCTCCTAGCTAAGTTCTGCCTGCTATAGGCCAAAGCAGTTTCTTTATTTATTAACTAATAAAAGCAACATGTAGACAGACAAACCTCCCACACCAGGCCACATGCATGGTAAAAGCAGGCTCCAGCATTGAAGTAACCACTCCAGCCATTAACCAAGCTTTTCACACTGAAACTCCACAGGCACCTCACCAAGCTCCGAATTATCCTCTAATATAAATAAAACTACAGGGCACCTGGTTCTGCGGCGTGTGTGTACCCCCACTATGATCTCAGTATAACTCAGGGACATGAGAGCGTTATTGAAGATACTGAGGTCTCCTTTTTCTTCCCATCTCAAGCACAGAGGATGTGCTGTCCCTTCAGACATAGCACTGTCCCTGCAAGTGAACGATGCCATTTCTCTGGCTTCCTCTTCCCTCGTCTCTCCAAACACACTTGTCTGTGAATATTGCTGGTCTGCCTACAAACCATATTCCAAACCTCATGTCTTCAGGTCACCTATCCCAGACAGCTGCTACAGTTTAGACACTGTCACTTATACCTGTTATGACTGTCCCTTTCCTGGCCACCTAGTGTCCCCCGTCTCATCCCTGTAATTTGTTTTCTAGGCAATAGCAAGTCAGGCTTAAAGATCTGCTATTAGGAGCTCTCAGAGTTTCCCGCCCAGCATAGAAGAGGCCTATCACCTGCCCACTGAAGTAGCTGGGCTATCATCCGTATTTTACTCCAGATCAAGTACATTTATTCATCCTGACCATCTTGAATCGGGAACTTTCTTAAAGAAAATACGTGAGGTGATGACTGGGCAGACAGAAGAAAGACAGGCAGACCATTCACACCCGGAAGTGACTTACGGCTTCAGATTTGGGAGGCACTGGAGGTGGAGGTAGGGCGATTTCTGAAGACTTCATTGTGGCTCCCAGGGTCGCAGGGGAAGGGAGAGAAGAAGTTGCACATTTGGACCGCGTGGAGCCTCTCAAGGGGTCACACCTGCTCTTCTCACTGAGGGAGCGAGTGAGAGGCTGGTGGCTAGGCTTGCCTTCCTCCAGCCACAGCTCTTCATAGGGAACCTCCGCCTTCCCTGGGACGCCCACCGACTCCTCACTAGCTTCTGGGAAAAGGTAGTCACTCCCGCTGTCACCAGAGTCTTGATAGGGAAGGACGTCATGGGGAAAAGGGGCCCATTCTCCCCCAAGGTCCCTGCAGCCATGGAGGTTCACCTCACTGTTGCCATGAAGATTGTTGCCATATACGCAGACTGAGAGTCGGTGGAAGGATTGGGTGAGCTCATCACGGGCATAGCTGAGGGAGTTGGGTAAATGGTTGTGGCCAGAGCAACGGCCCTTTTTGGGGCTCTTGCAGTCTTCATTCCAGTCTGTTTTCACATCGCGCACAGCCCGTGAATACTCATCGATGTCAAACTGCTCTTGGCAGATGCCCAGCCAGTGATGGACTAGGGTTTCCGGCCACACCTCTCCCTTCACCAGGTGCTCTGGGAGGCTGAACTTGGGGACAGTCAAGTGCAAAGGAAAGTGCATGGGGAGGATCTTGTTGTTCCGGAGCACACAGCACACCACCACCGTCTTGGTCTGGATGTTCACAAACTTGTAGCGGTGTCCCTCTCTGATGAAGTGAAGGTCATAGGGGTTTCTGGGTGGAGGACTGGGCACCGTCACATTCACGGGGAGCCTAGTCTTCTCCACGATGTTTCGGATAGTGTGTTCCCCTTCCTGCATCTGAAGCTCCAGGGGACTTCGGGTGCTAAACCTGCCCTTGCATTGGAATGGAAGGCTGATACTTTCATTGGTCCGGTGGTTCATGCAGATGAGGCAGGGCATTTTGCCTTTCCCCAGCTTGCTGATGGAGTTGAGTTTCCCAATCTTTTTGAAAATTGTGTTGAGTCGCGACTTTTCCTTGAAGGTCTTTGCATAAAGGATTTCTGCCTGCCCCATTAGGGTGAGCTCGTCCCCAGTACACAGGGTGATGTTGTAAACTTCGGTGTCTTCGTTGCATTCGCCGGACGCAACCTATGACGTGATAAACCGAATTCCACGTTAGTGAGGACACACACGCAGGCGAACACTATGCTTCACTTTAATTCTAAATGAGGATGGTTCGGTTTTATTGACATGGCCGACAACAGCCACATTTTTCTTATTTGTCACATATATTTATTTTGGAGAGAAACTGAAGTAAATGCTGCCGAAAACTTTCTCATTCTGAACTAGTGTTTTATTTATCCTCTGACAATTTCACACACGTCTATCATGCATTTTGAGCAGAGTCTCCTCTGTTTTCTTCTCTCAGCCCCTGTGCCTCTTAAATTGTTCTTCTTCCCAGGATGTTCTCTCCTACTTTCTTGTCTTTTAAAGTTTTTGAATAACCCACTGAGTTAACTGGGCTTCCCTCATGTGAATGGGTGTGGGGCTAGTTACTGGATCATGGATGGTTTATCAGTGGCCATACGCCTGAAGAAAGATAACTCCCCCTCCTCCAACAGCCATTAACTACCAACTGCCCCTCAGTTGAAAAAAAACAGGCTTGATGTAAGACAACATTAATTTAGGCTTTAATTTAGTTTATCATTGTTTTTTACCTTGGTCTTTTTGAAATGTGGCCTTACACAGCTGGGGCTGGCCTCAAATCGACCAGGCAGCTGGGGCCACCTTCTGCCTCAGTGCCCCGACTAAAGGCATGTGCCAGCACTCCAGTTTTACACTGGATCATTAAAACAGCTTTACCCCTATAGACAGAGAGAGGTCTATTTGATGGATAATTATTTTGGAATATTAACATTATTTTTTGCCACTATAACATGTCCATAAACAAGGTAGAAAAAAAATTCTTTTTGGTATTTAAGATTTTGTTGAAGTTTACCTGTTAAAAATCTCCTAATAAATAGGTTTTTAAAATTTGGAACTGAGACAAAGGATTACAAAACTTTGTGTGCTTTACTAGATATTGAACCTGGGCTTTGAGCAAGCTAGACAACTGGTCTACCACCAAGCTACACCCCAGATCCTTAAAATGCTTTATTTCTCCATTAAAAAAGATTAGTATGCAAGGCATTCATAGTTATTGGAAGAAATATAAGACATAAAAATAACACAAACCTATATTATTTTCTTACTTCATATCATCTGTCAAAAATCTTACATAAATAGAAATAAGAAATGGTATGTATTGGTTATCTCAGGGATCTGTAAAGCCACCCTCTGGAGTTTCCAATTGAAATCTCCCCATTTTCCCGAGTGCATACTTCACTAACAATAACTGTCATTTAATACATTTATTTATTACACAAAGATGGGCTTTACTTTGTTTTGGCCAGTTCCTTTTTGTTAGAAAAGTGGTAGTTTCCCCCCACATTTAGCAATTATAAATAGTACTGCAACGTAAACTTTTATAGTTCAATGGTTTCCATAGGAAGCAGCAACAGAATCCGAACTGTGGGGGCCACAGCCGTGTGAATCTGAGGTGAAACGGGACCTTTGCTTTTCATTCATGCTGTACTTCCACACCACCAACCTGAAAGAAAAGCCTGCATCCTTAGTTTACCTATTCAGGTTTTGTGTTAAGAGCTTTGACTATTAGTAAGTTGATGCTTGGGGTATTAACTCATCTCTTTGGGTCTCTCTCTTTTTTGAGACAGGGTTTCTCTGTGCAACAGCCCTGGCTGTCCTGAAACTCACTTTGTAGACCAGGTTGACCTCAAACTCACAGAGATTCGCCTGCTTCTGCCTCCCTAATGCTATGATTAAAGGTATTTGCCACCATGCCTGACTCTTTAGGTCTCTTCTTAGAGTTTTTTTTTTTTATGTAAAATCAATGGATTTCATACTATGTAGTTTTGACTGTTCCTCAGTTTTAAACTTTGTGGCTTCTTTAAATGAATTTTTTTCTTTTTTATAAAAACATATAGACAGTATTTCCAGAATTATCTTTTGTGATTTATTCTGTGGTGCTCCGATTCTAGCTGAAAAGACAGGGACCAATGGTTTTAAACCAGGGTGATTTTACAACCCTCCCAGGAGATGGGTGGGAATTTCTGGAGACATTTTTGTTGTCATGATGAGGGGAGCTGCTTTTCATATCTCTGGGCACTGACCAGGGTGCTCCTAAGCATGAACAATACATAGGGCAGCCTGTTGCCCTGCTCCTCAGAAAAGACTACTCAAGCTCAAAATTTCAATTGCACTCAAGTTGGGAGTTGCTGGTGTAATTACCAACGTTGTTGGCCAGCATGTGGATTATTTTTAAAGTTAATAGAGTGTCTAGTATATTTCCTAAACAATATTCTATCATAGCTGAAGTGCCATCTTTAATATGTGTTAAAATTCACAAAACAAGTACTTAAAGGTTTGTGAATACATATCTATTTTGAGGACATATATCATAGTTATCGGTCCTACCATAGTTACACTGTTTAACTTCCTGTGTCTTTGCAATCATTTCATTACATTCGATAACAAATCTCTTTGTTATTCTGACTCAAAATCCCCACAGAAGCTGTCAATCAACTAACACCCTTGTTAGTTGTAAGTTAGAAGTGAGCTGGCCTCACTTCAAGAGTTGTGGTCCTGGGGTGATGTGTGTGTGTGTGTGTGTGCGCGCGCGCGCTGTTGTTTTGCTAAAGGAACAGGGTATCAAACTCTGCCAATATTTATATTTATACCCACAGATTAGTGTTGCCATCAGCCTTGGTCAGGGAAGTTTCTGTTTGCAATGGACACCAGCTAGTATAGAGACTTATAACTTGTCAAGTGTTGAGAATAAGTAACTGTTGAAAGCTCAGCCTTAAATGGGCGTCTATATCAATTCTTCAGCACTCTGGTACACTGCAGAAGAGAGGTGGAAAACCAGTAAGAACTGGAAGGTGAGGAGGCCATGACCTGGTTCTAACATCCATGAACTTACAACAACAGTGTTTACCTGCACGAGACCTGTTCAGGACAGGGCTCATCACCCTTCCCTTAGGAATAAGGGAGGGGTACCTATAGCCTTATCCCTCTGCAGTTAAAAGATTGCAGGGGGAAAGGGGTCAGGGTGCTCAGTGGTGAAGTCATGAGCAAGTTGCCTTTGCGCAAGTAAATCATATCACCTGTACTCAAGCAGACACCCTTAACTAAATGCAATAGATCATCAGAGTAGGAGGGGGACTTGTCACAAAGAAACAGTGCAGTGCTAGGGGGACAAGAAAGAATGGAGAGATATTATCAAAGTATATTACATATATGTTCAATATGGCCATGGCCAACTGGAGAATCTAATCCAGACTGAGCTGCTCTGGCAACTGCAGAAACGGTTTCTTTTCTAAGGGAAAGTCAGGGGGCTGTTTTAGTCATTAGTCCACACACTAGTGACCCTAGAAGGTATTATTTCTACTGTGACAGCCGTTCCAGATGCCCACACCCATGACTTCTCGCAGATGACATCTGTGCAGTGGCATGACCGTGCAGAAACTCTGTGGTTAGCAAACAGAAGGCTACACACATGTGTGACTGGATATGTAAACAGCCCTGCTCAATCTCCCAGGGTCAGTTAGGGAGGCCTCCCTCTTCCACACTGCTTCTCCACCCCCGACAGGCCGTGGGTTGCAGTCAAGATCTCAACAATTTCTTTTGGAGGCTTCATTGCCTACTGTGGTCCTTTATTGAGGGTAGACCAAGACGAAGCTTGTGATAGAACAAACAGACAACTCCTGTAGTCCCAGACAGCAGATAGGAAAGGGAGACTCCAAAGACCTGAAACAAGGCTGAGACAGTGCCAAGACGGCAAGAAGCTAAGGAAGGTGAGCACTACAAAGGCAGAACTGCTGAACAAAACAGCTGGCGTCAGCAGCTGGAAAGGCTCTAGGTAGGGGCTGTAAGTTGTGCAGCAGGAGTGGCTGCCAGGGCTCCTAGGATTAGCTGCCGAGTGCCGGTCTGCTGTCGTTCAAAACTAGAAAGTGGCTCACAGCACGGGAGATGCACATGGCCTGCTTGTGAAGTCCCCCAAACAGAGCAAAGGACCCTCTGCTGATTGCAGCGAGTCCAATAAAGTTCAATGACAGAACAGAGAGGATGCATTCAGCAAAGGCGAAATGCAAAGGATTGTGGAGAACGTTCTCCTTTGCCTAGAAAATGGTGCTTATATTTTCTGCTTATTAATTTATTTACCCTCCCCTTTTTATTTTTTTTATTGAGAAAAGGAGAAAAAAAAACAAGTTTCCACCTCCTCCCAGCCTCCCATTTCCCTCCCCCTCCTCCCACCCTTCTCCCCCTCCCCCCACTCCTTTCTCCCTCCCTCTCCAGTCCAAAGAGCAGTCAGGGTTTTCTGCCCTGTGGTAAGTCCTAGGTCCTCCCCCCTCCGTCCATATCTAGGAAGGTGAACATCCAAACTGGCTAGGGTCCCACCAAGCCAGCACATTAAGCAGGATCAAAACCCCGTGCCACTGTCCTTTGCGTCTCATCAGCCCTTTTTTTTAGAAAAGAAGAAACACAACGAAAAAAACAATAAAGTGAGTTACTTTTCAAGAGGGGATTGGGAGGATTAGGGTAGAGGGAAGCTGGTGAAAGCAACAGCTGAGACAGCCTTGCCAAGTTTCGACCTTTAGATGCTACACATTCAAACCAGCTAATAAATACGGTGTTTCCTTTAGAAAATTCTGTTCTTCACAGCAGAGAAGTGGAGTAGAATCCAAGTGAGTTGACTTCATGTGCACTGTAGAACAAATAAATGTGTGTGTGGATGTTTGGATCAGCGAGATGCCTCAGTGGGTTAAGGTACCCGCTATCAAGCCTGATGACCTGAGTTTGAGTCCAGGGACCCATGCGGTGGAAGGAGAGAAGTGACCCCTGCATGCTTCCTTCTGAGCTCCACACATGCACGGTGTCTATCCACACATACAGATAACTTAATGCTATTTGTAATAACGTAATAAAAACTTAAAGACTAAACCTGCAAAGTTTTGCTATGGAAGAAGAGGTAGAAATAACATCATGAAAAGCAGGAAAGAGTGAAAAAGAACTCCTTGCAGGCTGGTTGA